GAGCTAAGAAATAACAACACAACACAAATGACAAGAACAAATGCTTGTTTGTACTACTATTTCCATTCCAAGCAAATGAAGCCAAAGTTTCCTCGGTAAGCCTCCTAACTAGGTCGACCTAGGCTATTATGTCTAATACATTTTAAATAATTGATAATATCCTAGCCTCTTACTTAAACATCAAGGTGGGTCCAAAAATCCCTTTGCTAATCTTTTGCTGCCTTTAATTTCCACATTGTAAATTGTGGTATGTTCATAAGAATCATAACCGAACTCATCTGACATTAATTGTTATATGGATTTTTGGATCTATCCACCCAATTTGACCTTATTGCAAACAAAATTATTTACCATCACAACAACCATGATAGAATTGTTTCATTAATTTATTATGATGACATACGAAGTATTGAAATTGCCTTTATTAAGGTGAGGATACCGCCCTTCAATTTAGATGGGTAAAAAAATTGTCAGTTTGATTTTTTTTTTTTTTACTCTGATAAGTCCAATTTAAATTTAAAAAATTGTAATATTTTTTAATCATCTTATAAACCCCATAATATTGCAAGTATTGTTAGTATAAAAAACATTTTTTAATCAACCTGAGTTGAAAGGTACTTCTCTATTAGGATAATCAACGTTGAATGGATTTTGGTGCTTCATGATTCATACTAAAGAATAGCATCTTCCTTAATTTCCTCAAACCAGTAATTAAATTAAAAGCTTTCTTTTTTAGTAAAGCGAATAAAGGCTTATTTGAGGGGAAGAAAAACATTTTAAATTATTAAAAAGGGCGAAAGATTCCTTTGATGACTTGGTCATAGTCTCATTCTCATAGATGATTTGTTCTTTTCCATCTCTCACGTCCCATCAATGTGTTTGCTTGGGTAATTAATCCTCATGATTTGGGTGGAAAATTCCGATCCATTGTTTTTCTTGCTCACAAGGAATAACAACTAAGTGGATATCTAAGCCTGTTGGGTTTAGTTTGATTGTTATGAACTGATAATTATAGTTATTAGTTGCTATTTGATAAAATAATTAATTAATTTAAATTTAAGTTTTTAATCATCTCATTCAACTGTAAAAAAATTATAAATTAATAAAATTAATTAAAACTGAATACACTTGTGATATGTGAATTTAAAAAATATATAATAGATTAGGTTAATTTCTTACTAGTAACTTGCAAATTCTAATGAAACTAAAATGAAAGAAGATTTTGTCTACATTTTCTGTCCTCTTGTGGCATTTGTTCTAGATCTAAAGTTTCAATCAAGAAGTGGAAAAAGTCCAAAAAAAAAAAAAACCTTTTGTCAAAACCTTAGCAAACCGACTAGAATAAAGCTCAGTAGGAGTATATTTGGAAGTGTCTATGCTAAATTCTAGAGTAACCCTTGTCCTAAGAAGATGTATGGAAACATTCATCACCTTCAATATCTTGCAAAATTTTTTTTATCATAAGTTAAATGATCGTTCAATTGTCAACGATTTAAATAATTTAGTAATAATTTTTTATTAAAAATAAAAAATTTTAAATTTAAATTATATAATATAAAAATATAATAAAATAAAAAATAAAACAAAATTATCTCCAATTACACAATTAATATATAAAAAAAATTAACTACCCAATTACAAAGAAAGAGAATTCTCCAAATTACGTATTGACTAAACTAATAAAGACTTGGCGGTGTGGAATCTGAATTCTAACCCAGCCAATGACTTTTGTACCCCTAACTCTATTTTGTAGGTTGTAGTACAATTGCGTCTTTAAAAAACAAAGTTATAATATTAAAAAAAATATATAAAGGTAATTTTTTTAATTATTTTTTATAATTATTATGTATTATTAAATAAATTAATGTATTTATTTCATGAATTTTAAATAAATAAAAAAATTAATCATTTAAATGATATATAAAATTATATAAAAAAATAATATAAAAAATAATCACTAAATTATTTTTATTAAAAAATCAAAAAAATTATTTTAATGGATATTATTAATTTAAAATTAAAATTTAAAACTTTATTATGCCAATTAACTCATCTTTCAACTGTACCAAAAAAAGTATAATTTTAAGAAGAGAGATAAATGAGTGTCATTAGCAATAATTATCCTTAATCAATCTTTATAGAGTTGGAGAAGTCTTCAAATTAACTATTCAAATGAAGTTAATTATTAATAATTAAGAGAGTATTTAACGATAATCTCTCATTATTTTGAGAGAATAACAAATTTTTACTAAGAGTACAAACCACAACCAAACTCCAAAGTATGCTTGGGGATGTATATTTTATCAATCACGAATATAAAACATTAGACAGTTCCCGTATGGTACCTTTCATCTCGTACACCTGACACACTGGCTCCTCGAAAAATCTTGGTTTTAACTAAAATATCTGTTTTGTTCAAAGGTTGGAATTAAGCACAAAGTAAATATTATATTATAAATTCCTCAAAAAATATTATATTATAAATTTATTAAAATTTGGAAAAATATTAATTTTTTTTTTGAACATTTTGACACGAAACGAGTTCGAAACCTGCTCAGGGGAGGGGAGAATGCACCTAACAAGCTGGTTAATGTCAGTGAGCCTCTAAGCCCAGGTGTTTAGAAAAATATTAATAACTTAAATAGTTGCCTAATATGTTATAAAAGATAGTTTCATTTTGTACTATGGGATTTGAATTTCATATATATTTTTTTGTAATATTCTTTTCGTAATTTCTCAGGTTTAAAAGAAAAAAATCTTGAATTTAATATTTAGAAAACAAATTTTATTTTATAATTTAAATTATATTAAATTATAAAATAAAATTATTAGATGAAAAAAAATTTTAATATTAAGAGACTTATTTTTATTTAATAATTAATATAATATAATATAATATAATACAATTTAAATTATATCATATTTTTATTAAAAAATTAATTTTTTTAATTCATTAGGTCATTAATATAATATAATATAATATAATACAATTTAAATTATATTATATTTTTATTAAAAAATTAATTTTTTTAATTCATTAGGTCAATATTATAAAATTATTTGAGATAAAATTAATTTTAAAGTACTTTAAAACTAGCTTGAAAAAATAGAAAAAAAAAATTAACAATCGATAATGATATCGAAATACTATAATACAGCCCATTGCCTTTTTAAAAAAAAAAAGAAAAAAAAAGAAATATAATACAAAGTCCCCGCAGGAAAAAAAAAAGTAATTATTTCCGAGATTATTTTATTTAAAAAAAAAAAACCAAATGGCCAATCGAATTTACGCGTGTACTAGCTTGAACCGCACAGACACGCAATGATTGAATACTCAACATTTCCCACGTAAGCAATTTTGGACGGTTCTAAAAATCCACCTGTCTCTGAATCAGCGGCCAGTAAATTTCCCCAAATTTCTTTGGCAAACACCTTTCTTAAGCCTCATATTTACTTCAAAATAACATTTAATTTCCTAAATTAAAAATAAAACAAATAAATCCTCTAACTCTATTAATAATGTAAATAAGTCCTCCTTATTCGTTCATGACTTCATGCTTTCAAGGTGATATTAAACATAAAATACCATTTGACTTATTTGTGAGAAGGGTTTAGTAGCATCATTAGAGCATGTTTGATTCAGTTTTTAAGTGCTTCAATTTTTTGATACTATTTATATTTCATAAATTTAAATTTTTTTCTTAAAAATTACACTTTTAAATCTTTTTTAAACTTAAAAAAACTCAAATAGTAAAAGTTCAAAAGTTTTAAATCTAAACTTTTTATAAATTTCTTTTTCACTCACTTTTTTCTATATCTAAAAACAACTTTTAAATTTTCTCTTCAATAAAAATTTAAATTTATCACTTATAAACAGTATAAAAAAATAAAAACTCTTATAAACTAACCCAAACATGCCCTTAGTGGAGTTGAAGGACTTACCTGTTTTATTTTTAGTTTAGCAGCTTAAATGCTATTTTTGGATAAGTTTGGGGACTTAATAAAGGGTTTTTTTTGCCAATTTCTTTCTCCATTTCTATTGGCCTAAAACTATTATGATATTATCATCGCTTTTATAAATGCACGGCAATTATCATCCATCCTCGAATCGCAACCGTCAGATCAAACATTTCTTTAAATCTAAAAGATTAGTAAACGTAATTTTGAAAAGTGCACGGAGCTTTATATTTAGAGGGAGTCGAGCTCTGGCTTGTGTCTCAGTGGATTTCATGGTGGAGAGGAGAGAGAAAGAGGGTGAGCTAGAGAGGGAAAGAGTGTGAGCTAGAGAGATAAAGTGAAAGGGGAAGATAGTTTATTGATGGAGAGTTAGGGTTCCGATTCTGAACTCAATTTTTTCAGTTTTTTCAACGATCGTTTCTCTCTCTTCCTCCGGTGGTGTTGAGTTTTCGGTTTATCCCTTCTAAATTGATTTTCTAGAGTTGTTTTGGGTTTTTTCCTCCGGCGAAAATTTTGTCCGATTGATTTTCCGGTGAACATTTTTTCTGGTTTGATCCTTCTCGGTCACCGGTACTCCTTGATTTTTCCCGTCGAGGTTGGGACTCGTGTTTTGATTTCTTCATTTGTTTTGCCATCTTGAAAAAGATCATTCCTTTGATTCAAAGCTAACCGCCGATTATATACAAATTCAAGCTTTTAACTGGAAGCCTTTTTTTTTTCCGGGTTATTGAGGAAAATTGAAGTGTTTGATACGGCTTTTTAGCGTTTCAAAGCTCTGTTTTTTTGTGTTGAATTGAAGATTGTTGGTTTCGAATTTTATGGGTTTCTTAATTTGATGACTTTTCTTGGACAATTTTGAGGGAAAAGGGTCATAGAACTGCATAGATGTTATTAAACAATGACCGAAATTGGATAGTTTCGTTCTGGTGAGGGTTTTGCTTTAACTTGATTTACAAGCTTTGGTTTTAGTTAATTGTTGGACTCATTAATGTCTCTCCAAATTTTGGTCTACTTGCATCTAGAATGGGTCAATTATTTCCTAATATAGTGGTTACTGTAACAGGCAGGATCCACTTTGGCCCAAAGAAAAGCTTCAAATTCATTTCCTTTCCACAAAAGCTTTGACATCAAAGAGCAAACCAAGACTTGTTGATTCAAGGGGTTTTAAGTTTTCCTACATTTTTGGATCAGAAAATGGCAGTTTCTTTTCCTCGTTTTTCATGGAGGTTTTGGGGAGGTAGCAAAGAAAGACAGCCTTTTTCAAATGGGTCTTCCTTAAATTCATCTTCTGATTGTAGTTTTGGCTTGAAAGAGCCTGATACTGTTAATTTTCCTGATAAAATGGTCTCAAAACCAAGAAAGGGAAAGGGTAAATGGGAGAACAGTGATGAGAGGAGGACAGAGACAGACTGTGACGTTGTGCTGGTTTCATCAGATGGAATGCATTTGTCTGGGTATGAATCAGATGGCCCTGAATGGTCCATTGGGTGGGAAGAACCACATGGTCCAGGTTTTGTTGGTGATGATGAGACTGATGGTGGATTTGCGGTGCTGGTTCCTTGCTACAGACCTGGTTGCAAGGAACTGTTGGGGGGTCCAAATAACCCGCTGCTGAGTGCATTTAAGAGCCTTCCAAATGGAGTGTATGCTGGTAAGAGCTGTTTCAATTTCAAACATTGGGCCTACTTTTATGTTAAGTGTTTTAGTTACATGGTTGGTTTCCTATAAAATATCTAATATGCTTGCTAATGAAATTATTGATCCCTTTTGAGTTATTGAAAGCTGTATCCTGTTTTGGGGTCAGGCATTTTTGGGTTTAGATCCTGGGTGGTTGATTGCTTTTATGTCCACTTTAATTGCTCATCATGACTGTTTAACTCTCTTCATTGCCGAGGCTTTTATCTGGAATTATGATTGCTCTTGGTGTCATTTGCATGTGACTACAGTACTCTAGTATCTACACACCAGGGTAATCATGTTTAGCTTTTGAGGTCATTGAATTCAGGTTCAGTTACAAGGGAGTGGCTTATTGCTAAATAATTGCCTTCTTTTTGCATGAGCTGTTTTCTTGCTTCTTTCTCTTTCAACAAAGATCATGAAACTCCTCTTGTGGTGTATAGCAAACTTGGTTATGTTGCTTGTAGAAGTGACCATTTGCAGATTTTGGGTTTAATTTAGGAGTGAGTTCATTGGAACTGAGGACTCTTAACATCCTACCATCGTGTGTTATCTGGTAACTGACAGTCAATAAACTGTGAAAGGCAAAAGAACTCAGCAACTTTATTGTTTGTCTAGCACCAAGGGCAAATGCCGCAAATCTTGGTACCTGATTGGTTTTGTTTTGTCAAAGAATCAAAGTAGTCCAAATGGTCGAAAAATGGCAGGTGGGGTAAAGGCATCTGATAGAATTTTGTGAGGTCAACATTTTGTAGGTTAGTTCTCAAGTCACTTCAATAACAAACTGGAGTGCTGCAAAACGTTAATTTTGCCTTACCAATGGACCACCTGCAGCCTCTGTTTGGTCGGTGCTAGCACTATGCAGGATAATATTGCAAACCCTATAAATCACAATGATGACCAATCTATTGGTGTGCTGTTTTTTGTATGTGTTCATGTATTGGATGGTAGTGTTTGGGGTGGGGGAATTTAATGTCTGGACCCAAGTTGATCTATTTAACTTTTTCTGGCCCAAAACACAAGCCCTATCTGTGTCTTGGGGATTTCTGAGTTGTAATGACATACCCCACATTCTAACTGAAACTGCTTTACCTGAATTGGTTTATAGACTTGTGGAAAGTTTTTGTTGTTTACCCTTGCCTTGCTTTCCTACATATGCCTAAAACTTCAAATGCATACTGAGTTTTCTTTTTGGTTGGCCATGCAGAGGGAAACAACTACATGCAGCAGTGGTTTTCTTCTCTCAAAAACTTCTGAATGCCTAGAAATTCTGACGTTGCACACAATGCTTATTACTTAAATAAGTTAATTCAACCTGGGGTATTTTGAAGAAGTTAATATGTCTTTCCATATCATATAATATAGGATCCTGTTAGGAAGCTGGAAGGGTGGAGACGGAACTTGGTATCTGCATATGTTGAGGTCCGCCTTTGGAGGTGCGCCTACCTATAGGAGCCAACATATGAGGTTCAAAGAGAGAAAAAAAAAAAAAAGGAAGAAGACAGCATAATATGGAGCGCATGCTTGTTTCTTGTTGGTTATTCTCATCTTCCTAGTTCAGTTGAACCCTTGTGAAGTGTTGGCGGAAATTCTCTGTAAATGCTGCTATTGTTTGTGAATATGTAAGAAATTCCCCTGCTTCTAGCTTACTACTACTGTGAATAATTCTCATCTTTTCCAGAACTGATCAATATGCCATCTATAAAGCATTAGTTTTGTACATTATTTTGTTCTTTTATCCTGTTGGGAGCATATCTATTTCATTGGTTTTTTACTGTATCACCATTTTAAGAGCTCCTTTTTACAGATATGAAAGCAAAAACTTCCTGCACTTAACGACTGTTGCTGCGCAAAACCCCTTTTTATATATTTTTGGAAGTTTAACTAAATATTCATGTTCTAGTGTTTGGAATGAGAAGAAATTTTCTTGTTTGGGATATCATTCATGATTCAAGTAACTTCTTTTCTTTGGGAAGAAACAGTTATCAGAGTCCAGCCTGCTAAAAAAACTAATTCCCCTTGATGAATTAATAAATCCACATTCATGCTTGATTTATTATGGTATACACGTTTTTATGTTAACAAAATATAAATCCTGGGATGAAGGGTCGCTGATAATGGGTGAATGCCTCTTTATTCAATGATGGGAGTTTTGCAGCATAGTGTGAAACCCTGGACTCTTGTATTAATTTAAGGGAGGAAAAATTATTCTTGGGGTGAGAGAGGCTCGAACTCTCGACCTCAGGATAACTCAGAAGCTATGAGACCTACGCGCTAGCCAACTGCGCCACCACCCCAA